GAAACGTTTTCGTGGTATTAAAGACTTTTATTTATATTCCAGGTGTAACGAGCACTGAACGGAAAGTCAACAGGAACTGAGGACCGCGATCGATTTATTGTATTTTGTAATTTTATTACCACGACACCCTAGAATAAGTTCAGACAACCAGGGGCCACTTCATGCAGTGAGCCCATCGGAAGAGTTTTACCAGTGGAGAAACCACTGGGTTTTTACTTCCGGCTGGTATGGTCTTAGGGTCCCCACGAACCCACGAGGGGGGGGGAGTGATCTGTAGCGTTTCATACTCCGCGAAAATCAATAGCCTAGGGTTTGACGACTTTCGACATTGATGCTGACCTTGATAGTTTAACTGGACTCGCTAAGCTGAAGGCACCTGGTCAAGCATCCTCGCCATTTGGCACACTGTCGTGTTGCGTTGTACTGCTCGTATTCGACTCTCTAGCCAGTTAGTTGGAATGCATCGGTATTTTGGCATAACCATCCAAATATACTATTCCATCCGACTACGCTATCGTGTTCTTCCTTGGTCTCGTATTCGTGGGTATATAACAAGTCCGAATAATTAGCGATTGGTCTTTGCGTCTGTCAAGTTCGCACCAGGACTAATCCTAAAATGCCAGCCCAGTCGTGGTACATTGAGGCGCTGAATGGAAAGCGAGAAATCTCCCCCAGATGAGCCGAATTTACAGGCAGATAAATATGGATTCCTAGTGTGGTCTATTTCAACGTACCATCAGTTGACTGAGAAAACCTAATAGTAGAAGCATCACGCAACTCGTTTAAAAACAGATTCCTCTAGCTCTTCTATACTGCAGAAGGGAAGCAACCCTAAATGATTATCATCATGCTCCATCAGTTTTAGGGTTATTATTCCCGCACGAAGCCGAAATAGGCTTCATCTGGCACTCTGTACACCTTTGTGATATTCTCATGCTTTGGTGACATCCAGATTTACAGCATAAATAATAAATAAATAAATGTTTTATTCTCACGTTAAAAAAAGTTTTACATGAGAGGAGCCAGTTTACAGGCTTCATCACGTTGATACATCTTAGAATATCCACAAGACTTTGCGGGTCGTGAGTGGTATAGACAGAGCGTCATTAAACTCAATTAAAAACTGCTGAAGGTCCTGCTAGTTATGAAACGAACAAGGAAATATTACTTTACGGCGTACATAGAGTGCTAAAGTTTAGATAATAATAAATATTGTCTTCATATAACGGGTTTAACATGAAAGACGCCAGTTTCCAAGCGCCGCCGAGTTCATAATTTTTAAAAGTTTACGAACCGACATTTAGTTATGATAATGCTAATGATAATATATATATTTCATACAACATAGGTTACATGAATACAAACCAGTTTACAAGTCCGATCATTTTATTAAATAATTTACAAATCGAGTCATTAGTGTGCATTGTCCTACTAAAATTTGCTTAAGTTCATGAGACGGATGTGGATTCTCTTCTCCCATCTCACAGACAGGTTCCATTAACAATATCAAAAGCGCACATTGTTCAAAGTTTGCGTTATAACCAACCGACGTTGTTAGTCCATTCGCATAGTTTGCTGATTAGTAATATAACAGTTTATTACTTAGAATGATCTTCAGTTTTTATCTTTGCTAACCACAAAGGACCTATTTATAAGATCTGGAGTATCAATAAAGTATCCACAGTTATATAACCAACGTGTATGGCTATATCAACGCATTTCCAGGTGACCATGTTAAATTTAAAGGTAATATAGATTAATTCTGCTGGGAATACTTGTTGTATTGAATGAAAATAGATGCTGGAACAGTCAGGAGTCTAAGTGGCAGTGTTTATACATATTTATACAGCAGGCATATTGTGTCAGGCCAGTGCCCGTGCCAGATTCAGTATGTGGAAAGCGAACACAACGAATATCAGCTTGGCAACCTATTCCCAAGTGCCGAACAATCAATTCAGAGGCCTTATTTGAGGCTGAGCTGTGCTCTTTCAAACAGTTATACCGATGAGTGGTTCAACCGTTTAATCCGTGCACTATCCCGGAGAGATAAAAATATTCTCCCTTGTGGATAAGCCTAGAAATTCGAAGTTTGCTATGACGTAGGTAAAGTTGTTGGAGAATTGCTACTCGCCTTTGTACTATCGAGGGGAAGAAGCATACTGGCAAAGACTGGAACGAGTGTACCACTGCCATCGGTCTGTAAAGGTTTTGTTTTGAAATACGCCTCTCTCACTAAGAAGCACAGCATCCGAATGGATTATTTTCCTACGTAAAATCTGAGAATAAAATTTGTTGTAGTATCCCCATTCCGATTAAAGAAAATTGGACTAGCTGGTTAACTGAGCACTACAGTGGCGAAGTGGAAGCTGTAACCAGATATTCCGCTGGGTTGCTTACCCAGGAACCTTCGAACGACCAAACCTCAACGGTAGGAGTATCAATATCCAACAGAATGAGGCTTGCGGACCTTGATTACAGCGATATATTTAGAATATTAAGTATTCGGGATGTGGAAAGATCAGTTTGGCTGGATGAGCTGGACTCAAGGCTTCTCAGTGTCTGGCGTTCATGTAGCTGGCTTAACGACCACTACGTTTTGGCCGTCTGCAAGTGAAGGCACACTCCACTTGAATCGAAAAAACTCCACAGTCATACCTCTTCACAAAACAAGTTCGATGCATTGCCCGTCAAATGACAATTTGTGCTGTGCTTGAAAACAAACGAAGAGTAATTGTGAAAGTCAGGAAGGCTTGCCTGGAAAGTAACACCCTGTTATCGCCGTTCACGGCATATCAGTCGTGGAAGTTCCGCTTGCTTATGGAGCTGTAATACAGTTAGAGTTAGGTCAAGCCTAAGGATGTTAGAACACCGGCGGATGTCATTTCCATAGAATTCAGTGGGGCGTCCTATAAAAAACTTCATTTCTGGATACTCGGAAAACCGGAAAGTTCCGGAATCACTGGCAAACTTATTGCATGGATTAGACGACTCCTCATGTTGAGAGATAACGAATAAGGATCGGCTCTCAACTCTGCCCGGAATTTGGTATGGAATAAAATGTCACAAGGGATAGTCCTAAGTGCCTTCTCATTTCACGCAAAAATATGGTGAGAAATTAGAGATTACTGAGGCGAACGCACACTTCAGGCAGAAATAAACAATTTGCTTATCTGGTCAGAGAAATGGGTAGTTCTGACAAATACGCTTAGGTGTACGGGTATGGACATAAGGCATACAGACGGCAACATGTAGAAATTTCACTATATCATGCGCTGAAAACCGCAGCGTACTGTAGATTGGCAACACCTTGGAGTTTCACGACACTATGGGGACAAATTACAACGTTTACAAGAACAAGTAGTGAAACATTCACCAACTCACACACTTCCTTGGTTAGATCTTAACCAGAAAGCCGTGAATAAGCAGCAAACCACTATGTAAGGTGTGACTCGGACGTTCTGGAAGGAGTTCATAAGACACTCGCATGATCCTTAGAATGGCCAGCTTGACCTACGATGACCGACTTCAGGATCTGAGACTTTCCTCTATCCTATTGTGGGCAAAGAGGAGACCTAAACGTTCGTGGAAATCTATTAGAAAAGGGTTGGCATGAGCTCATAGCCTTCTGTCACGAAACCAAAAACCTCGATCTGAATGTGTAGGAAATCAGATGCTAGATATCATCAACCTTTTCCATGAGCAATATGCACGAGAAATAAAAGCAGTCAGCTTCCTTGACGAAAACACTGATAGACGACAAGGACCGACTCTGAAGGAACACGTTCTAGAGTCTAGGAATGAGAAACATCCTATATGAATCGTTCATCATTAGATAGCAAAACTATCGCTAACCGAAAAACTGAACAGTGGTTCCAAGTATCCAGCAGATGCCCCGGAGCCTACGCAGTATTACGATTATGCACAGTCAACTGGGTTCCCTCTTCCCGAGACTCCTGAAGAACTGTAAGACCAACATGCCACACCTCCTGAAGTCCACACATAACCGAAAAAGATGCGAGCCTCATGAAAGAGCCAAGACGTGAGAGAGGAGGAGTACCATGGGTATGAGTAGGAGGCCATACGAAGGTAGGCTAGTGGACCTAGACCTTCACCCACTTTGTTACCGTTGGTTACATGGTGATGACAGCCTACAATATACTCAGTATTCCAAATCTCACGAATGGTAAAGTTCCACCCAGTGGTCACTATGGCTATCTTCCTAGAAACCCGAAGACAGTCGCCGCCGTATGTGTTCAAACCTTTTCTCTCTTCCAGTTGATGGCCACTAGAAGGCATAACCTGTCCAGGTCGCCATCGCCCCACCAGTCGGTGGATTCAGAAGAAGCCTGGACAGCTATGTAGCGACATGTGAATTATGACTGTTCAGTCAGGATACGCTCTGAGCTGAGACAACCGAATGACTCCGCACCACCTCATCACAGTTACCTACATACGGATTCCCTTGCGTTCTTACTATTATCATGAACCTGACTGTCATATACCGTCCTATCGGAAGTCTTTCCTCTAGTCGCCATACTACTGCTGATATTACTACCCCTACCACCACATTTCCTACTATAATCGCTTCTACTACTTCCCTTTGCTGTGACTCAACGGTTTCACCAAATTCATTAAGGCTCTTCATATTACCGTTTTATTTCCCGTCATTCCGAAGTTGCCTAGGTTTTTTCCTAACTTTCATCTCTCTTATTTCTTCCTCTTTGCTCTTCTTATCGAAATTTTTACCCTTGTTGTCGTCTTCTTGTGAACAGTCCGAATAACTGTCTGACCACACAACATTTGAGGCACTCCTTTGCACCACAGTTTCAGGACACTTTACAAATTTAAACTGAAACCCAGCCATTCGTTAGACTTACCAAAACCACACTAGGTGGAATTACTACTTTGAAATCAAAGAAAGACCCTAAGGGGGGAGGACGGGGCGAAGAGATTAATTTGTTTATACAAGCTCGTGTAGAGATATTGAACACTGAAGGGCCATCTGAACGCGCTCACTATGTACAGAAAGTATGTTATCACGCAATGTCAGTATTCGTGATGAATCGGATTCACTTTGCTTAACCAAGGAGAATCTTAAGCGGAGTAAAGTAGTGGGACAGTTTGACGAAAAAGTTATTTTACTGACTTGTGATATCGAAATTAAAATAGATCGACACTTAGTGGAAGTATTACAACCAACGAAGAATACGCGTAAATATATTTTTGGCATTGATCAGCACGCAGGACACGAAAGAATATTGTTAGAACGCTTTGAAAATGAGTGTATTGACTACTTTCACCTCTTTTCAAACGTGAATAATAGTGAGCGTGCATTTTCCAGGGATGTATCGATAAAACTAACGGGAAAAGATGTTGATGACATCTACAGGCACTTGAAACACAAACTGACGAAATCTTTAAAGCTTTCGAACTACGGCTTTGCAGCTTATTTTGAGCGCTGCAACAAGCAAAATATTATTCATGTTACAAAGATCCCACTTATGATTTGTCGCAAAGACGTGACAGAAAAGCTTATAATCGAAGTCATCACAAAGTGCATACGAACTTTAGTGGCGGATGGAGGCAAATCCCATGGCGAAAAAGTGCATAATATAATGTAGGTCCTCGACGCTTAGTTGGAAATACTGCGGTATTTTAATTTTCCACAAAAGTAAATAACCGGTTAAAAATCTGTTACTCAGTTATCCTTCGTAAAGGCTGTCAATTTTACCGTTATAAGTTTACTAAAAAAATGTGGGTTGGCCTGAATCCGAAAACTACGGGGCTAAGACTTTATTCTCAATAAGAACAGAGCAATATTCTCTCTAGTTCAATCTCTAACAGTTCGAGAAATTCAGTAAATTCTTTTGTTTAGTTCCAAGGAGTAGAAATGACTGAATTGTCAAACAAATAACACTGCATAAAGCTTTGATTATCACGCTAAATATGACCATTTTTAAAGTATATTGACTAACTGGTGAACTGCTTTTCGATTTCTTTACTGCTAACTGAAAATCGCTCTCAGGACTAAATTTACTGTTTTGTCATCAGGATGTTGTGACAACTTGCTTTTGAAATGATTTTGCCGCAAGCGTTTGCTAGAGCTACATGACCCGTTTTGACATTTTTCAGATCCATAGAAACAGTCTGGCTGACTTCTATTCTTTGTCTATAAACAACCGGTTGACTTTGTAGCAAAAATGTTTAAAACTGAACAAGTATGGGGTACAAGAGAGATGTAATCGGTTGATAGTATTGCCATTAACTAACATGAACGGTAGAACATAAATGAGAATACTTGAGTACCACTTCAAACAGTAACTTACCTGTGTGTAAATATTGATAAAAAACATAAATACATATTTGGATGGTTAAAGATGTTTATAAGAGCAACATACTTGTTAGTATGTAGCCAAAAATTACCTTAAGGAAAACGCTATAACTTGTCTGGTTAGACTAAGAACGAATACAGGTATAAGTCAGCCCAAAGGAAACTCAAAACAGCAGTAGTTCATAGGTAGATGATTATACGCTAGAACAAACTTGATACGACTAAAACACGCACTGAAGCCTAAGCATAGTGATTTAGATGCTTTGAACATTAAGTTTATATATAATAGTTATTCGATACCACGAAGGTGCACTTCAGAGATGTCATTGGATTAGTCGTTATACAGTGGTAGGATGTTTGTGACTTATAAAGTATTAGGAACACCAAAGTAATAATTAAATAGCTCAACTGAACATACGGGCTGGTGTAAAAAATTCCTAGTGATGTAATTATGCAGAAGATATCGAAACAACACACAAGATAAAAGTAGTGTAACCGAGATCTGACCCATCACAGAACTCATCTCTCTCTGGACCTCAAATGATCACTTTACTATTGTTTGATAGTGAAAAGATAGCGCTGCAAATTATTTTGTTTTTGATTCACATCTGATCTCGCCTGAAATAGCTGAATCGTGTGATCTCCACAACCTCTAACAAGAAGTAAGCATTATCTAATAGACACCAGCCTAACATATCTAACATTCTTGGATAGAAATATACCAAGAAATTATCTACTTCAGTTCCTTTAAGTTGAAATTGGATCCCATGAATTTTGATACATAAAAGTTAAGGAGTTATTGTGCATAAGGTATGTGTAAGCTGACAAAATTCACATTTTTATTAGTTTAAGCGTGATGTCAACGGAAATTCACCTCTTATCGCTCATAAAAAACTACCAGAAAACATACAATGTCTCGACGACAGTAGTTATTAGACATGGCAAGCTTTCGAGAACTCTTAGTTTCGGTTTCAACTCTGCAGCCTACTTATTCATCACCTCATCCTCAGTTACTAGCAAAAGTTATTGTTCTTGAGTTATTCCCACGATTATTTCTTTCATCGAAAAGCTAACCGACTACAGCCAAACAAATTTTGAGAATACCTCAGCTATCAGAATACCGCCACAAAAGAACAACTACCTTTGATATAGAAGACAAACATCAAATTTATTTTTACTGATATATCCCTACCTAACGTTATATGATGGGGAAATGTGAAAATAGTTGTATATACATACCACAATTAATTAACATATGGCATGAAATTAAACCAACGAATACAGATTCCATCGCGATAGCTTTATGCTGGTCCGTACACCGGTGCCTTAGAAACCCGTTCTGTGAGAAGGCCACGAATACTGCCTACCTGTTCAAACCTTAATAAGTTGGTAGAAAGGTTGAAGGCCGTGACCTCTTAGTTGAAAGGTAAAGTCACCATGGCTAAAACATCCAGTGGGTAAATACGTTTGATGTCATCAAAATCTGAATAAATTGCAAAACGTTTTGTCTCAAAAGCCCCATAGAACAAACAAGTCACATGAGTAAACTCCCTAAATGACAACTTGAGAGGTATTATCGAATAAAAATATCACCAGGTTCGAATAGTCAGTTGATATCAACAAAGAATGTGGATTTACTCGGTAAAAGTCCAACCTGATCAGCCACACATAAAGAAGTGAGACGGAAAAACGAAAGACAGGAACATTGAAATCTAAAGAACTAGAAAAACTATAAGAAAAGAAGGAACTGCAGGATAAAAATTAACCAAATGTGACGTGATGACTAGGGTTGGGATATGTGAATGCAGCTACGACTGATTATCAACCGTGTCATCTACAGCCGCTGACTTAGGCTGCTACGCAGACCCTAACCTGCGTGCATACATGGTTCAGACCAGTGGTCAGAAACTGAAAGAACCGATGCCATACTGTATTCTGGCCACCTTCAGTGTTTTATCAGTTCAAACCTAATTCGCCTAAGATTCTGCATAGGTATGCCTAACAAATGCTGCAACCATCTAAGTCAGTGATGGTTTACAAGCTCATCAGTTAGCTTATGTCTTCTACCTAAAACTCTGCACTTGATTTCTGCATTATTGAAGTGCTGGGACTACGACATAGAACCTATGCTACGAAGATGGCAGTGGTCAAAAACTTAACGTCGTCCGGTTTTATTCACCTGTGATTAGCATACTTTAGACGTTGTAAAAATGACAAAATGTTGCGTAGTACACTCGACCGCTAGTAGACAAGTGGATATCTCGCCAACACCACAAATGGCGTAAGTCAATCCAGACTGCTGTATCGAAAAGGGTATTATCAACCAATCACCAGTCAATGTTGATTTAACTTTTCAAGTAAGCAGTCGTCAACAAAGTCAGCTATTTCACTGGTAAGTGTCAGAGGAAATACTTATGGAGACCAGCCTTGAAGTGACAGTTGTGTTTCGGTTGTGGGAAAAACATCTCAAACCTTCTTCAACTGCCGCTCAACGTATCGAGAAGACTATATTGTCAGTATCTCTGACTAAAAAGGTTTTTGTATGCACACTCTGGGTCGAGTTAGTAGTTTTTTGAGTGAAAGTTAATCCTTTTAAACTCAGCCAAGAGGGAGACTTGCATAAAAACAAAATTCACTAAAAATAAGGGATTGGGTAGACTTCTATAACGGATACCACTCGAAACACAGAACTTACCTGGTAGCTCTGGAAGAACCGAGAGTATTCGAGTATGCAGGCTTCACTAGGGTGTCATACTTGCTAAACACATAGACAATATTAGCACTGCTGCATAGCAATGCAGCTGCTACGCATCTTATCAACATATCAAGTGGGAATGCACTTAATTGAAGAAATAAAGAAAAGAGCAGTTAAAGTGGAAGGGATTGCTCAAAAGAGAGCGAAGAATGAGAGAATGCTGAAATTCAGTATGATGATTAAAATGAGTGATATGTGAATGCATCTGCACCTATGACACTGATTCTAAGCCATATCACCCTGAGTCTCCAACCATTGGTTTCTGTTGCCACCTGAACCCCAACCTGGAAGTAGATATTTCCCCACACCGTTCAAAGAAACAGGAGAAGACTTTACTAACTAATGCTACGTCTCACTGTGACCACTTCCAACCTCTTTCCGTCATATACGTTTTTCAATTAACATCTTTCGACAGAGCGAAAGGAGACTGAATATGCGTAACACATACTCCAGTTGTTTAAACTGATGAAGATTTGCAGCCTCATCAACTGACTTCCCTTTCCTCCCTAAAATCACATACCTGACTTCTGGGTTAATTCATATGGTGACACACGATACAAGTACAATGCTACAAAGGCAACGGTGGTCGAATGCCTGAAATCTTCTCATTATCCCTTAACTTTAATGGGCATTTTTCACAAGCATCAAGGAGGACAGTAGTGTAGCACACTCTACCTTCAATAAGCAATTCTATTTAACGCCGGTACCAACGATTAAGTAAGTTGGTGCAAGCCAAGCTAACCTTTGGTGTTTGTAGACAGATCTCGTCAGTTACTAACCAGCTGATCAGACTCCTCAGGTAGGTGAAGTAGTCAACGCACTCAACCACTTCATTCCTTATTATTAAACACGACACCAGTGAAGAATAGTCGTGGAGTAAAAATTCGCATTTACATAGTGAGAACATTCTCGAATTACCGCTCAAGGTGTCCAGAAGTCTCTGTATCTTCACCTAACAGGATTATGTCATCTGCGTACTCAAGATATATTAAGGATTCTCCTGTGATAAGATCAATCCCTGTTAAGTTGGACGACAGGAGAGATACTTCTATAAGTACGTCTATGAAAAAGTCGAGTTAAAATGAAGACAGCTAACATTCTTGACGAACAAACAACTCACTTGCTACTTCACTATAGGCTTCAACACGCTCAAGCACACTCGAGCACAGAGTTCAACACAGTGACACACTTATTCGGGACCCCTTTTCAACGAGAGACTGCCATAATACCTTTTGATCAGTGGAGTCAAGAAATGAAGCTGGTGTCCGTTGATGCGCCTGCCTACTAGAGTTTGGTGAAGAGTGGGTATTTGGTCGATAAACTCCTGGTCAGGTCTGAAACCTGCCTGGTTAGTTCGGATTTGCTATTCCCGAGCTCCACTTAGAGGTCTGGTAATTACTGAACTTAAAAATCATGTTTATCATACTGACAACTCTAAGTTTATCACAAGAGGATTTCTCTCTTTTCTTGAGGACTGGGACAATCAGTAGCTGAAGCTAGTTGGGAGCGGGTGAGTCATATCTGATCCCCATCGCCGGATATACTTCAGTTAACCTGATCAGTAGTCCGTGACCACTGTCCTCAAATACCTCCATCACTGGCCCGTCTGCTGTCCTTCTGCAAATGTTGGAGGCCTGATCTCAATGCTCCTTTCAGGATCCGAATGGATACCACGAAACGAGATAGCTGGAGCTTAGGTGAACTGCTCCGCCCAAAATCTTAGTTACCTACCTTGCGAGTGAACCGTTGACCGGTCCTTCTTGACTATAATCCGACTAACCACTGCTTTGCACTTTTCTTGATAATTCTAAATAGCTGTCTACTGTTACCTATCGCCGCGGCATTTTCCATTTCCTTGGCCTTCGCTTCATCCAACGGGCCAGGGGTTCGAGCCTCGCCCCACCAACCAAGGTCTGGCCAGCCAGCTAATATCATTAGCCCTCGAAACATAGTTACGGCCAAAACGCATAGTGCACAAACGTACATCTACGCTTGCTCGGCATTAGTTTTAGTCAGGGATATTGCCATAAGACCCCTCGATCGATGTAGTCAAATGGCGCTTACAGGTTTAAAAATACAATGAGTATCGGTGTGTGCTTCAAGACCTGGCAGAGGATAGAGATCTCGCTGAGCAAATCCAGAGCTAGATCTCAAATCTGCCTGACTTCTCTGGGTTTGTTGTGGAATACTCACAAAACTTACAATCTTAGACAGCATTTTCGACAGACTGAATCCATTGTGCTTATTACAAGAGGGTTTTTATACTTATTGGAATAAGCAGTTGAAACCCACCCAAGAGGATGGTTTCTGATTCCTATACACTGGTTAACATTTCAGCCACCCTAGCCAATAATCCATCCTTAAATACGTCATCACCTGGACCTGTTGCGGCTACTCCTTTCACATTAATTACAGCCTTATCAACTTTTGCAAGAGTTCCAAGACCCATTTTAATATGTTCCACTTAGGGTGAGGTTGAATATCGAACAATCAAAGAGTAGCGGATAGTCAGCTGAACTGTTCCTCCAAATATTTAGTCCATCATTCTTAAAACTGTTCCGAATACCATCTCACAACTGAATTAGTGCCATCTCAATACGAAAAAAGTAGCTCAACATCCACGTACAGCTTCAGGCAATGAGCTACACCTATTGTGTGACGACCAGGAATGCTACCTGACTGTCTGCACCTCAGTAAGTGGAAAGGAGGGTGGATCTGTAAGTCACTGGTTGAAAGTAAAATTTCTAGACTAAGAAGTCACTATTGGGTAATATCATAGTCAACAACCTACGCGTCTGCAAGAATCTGAGTATTCTCGGCATGCGTTTCGCACCTGTTAAATGTGAGATGATGCTCCAGGACTGGTCTGCTTCAAATACTCCCAGTTTATTGATAGGGAGTGGAGTGGTGGAATGTGTCGACCACTTCACTTACTTGGGAAGATGTATAAGCCCGAACAGGCTGGTTGCTGACGAAATCTCAGCTCGGATACAGAAAGTCCATTTGTCAACTTGTTCCATCTCTGGTGCCGACTAGCGAGATATCCATCCCATCTACCAGAGAACAAGTATAATCCGCTCTGTCCTGTTATACAGGTATGGCAGTTGAAAGTCAAAGATACGAAGCGATTACAGGGTTTTGACCAGCTATCTTTGTAGCATTGCTGGCGCTTGGTGGGATCACCGTGTGAGCAATGTCGATGCCAGGTAAAGGGAAACAGGCAAGTCAGTTGAAGAGATTGTGAACCTTCTCATCGACTGGGGTGGCTTGGAAATGTACTGCGCATGCCGGTCCACTGCCTACCTTGATGTGTGGTGCTAGGGGAAGTTGGATTTACGTTGGAATATGGTTCGGGGTGGCCAGACAGATGTGGCACTATTCGACGAAGTCCCTTACTGTTGGTCTGCGCCGTGTGGGGAGACGTAGACTACCTGACTGGGGTCCCAGGCACGAAAGGAATGAGTGGTTGAGGACTCTTGGGTGGAAACCAGTCACATAAGCGCAGATTAACTCACTCCTTAACGTCTTCTGAAGTTTGGATATTTGCACTAGCCTTTGTCTTCAAATTACCTATTGTCTCACATAACTCTGTCTACTTTGATATAATTCTTTTTCTACCCACTTTTCCTTTGTATCCCACTTCGAAGTGTGACAATTTGAGCCGATACACTTGTGTGGGAATTTGTACGTTGATTTTGCGTGTCCAGCTACATTGAATTAATACCCCTGTTTCAGTAAGATATCATCAAGACAGGGATACTAAGACACGCTGTATATCTTTAGTCTTCACAAATATGACTAAGAATGCATCACTCAAAAATCAAAAGTTTTGTAATAGTTATTGGTGAGATTGCAAACGTGTAATACTTTTCATTTTGAATTCGCCCTATTATTTACGCTCATCTAAAATTACGAAACCAATTTTTGTTTGTAGGCAAGCAATTTATCCTATTTTGCAATCTCGAGCCTGCCACTCAGCTATTCGTTTTGGAAGCAAGCTCAATAAAAACCAAATGAAGTTGCTCATCTCCCAACTTTCAGAATGTCGTCTACCCTTCCAGTGTGCACACGGACGTCCAACATGTGCTTTGATTAAAATAATTGAGTAAGAACTGTGTTAGGTTTCCAATGTAATTTATATAGTTTAGAAATAAATTTGTGAATCAATAAACTTATCTAACTTGAATGCATACAAAATGATACAAGAATGCTAAGAAAAAATATCTTCAAATTATATATTATATATATATATATATTACAAGGGGATATGAAATGAAGTCATCTAGTGAAGATGGGAGTTCTGAATTTAGAGCGATCCATTTTTGAGTGGTGATGCAACTGGATGAATATTCTGTGAGGTAACACTGGCAACCAAAGCTATAGTGTTATAGAACACTAGGGGGATTTTGTTTGAAACATTTTACGAAAATTAATCCAATTAACAGGAGTAAATATTGCGGTTACTCTTAGTCTTTCTGTGTTGGTCGGGGATGCATGCACGTTCGTAACCATGGCATTAGAATATATCCATCTGTGAAAATGAAAGATCAGTTTATTTTCAAGATAAGTTTATGAAGTAACGTTCAATATGTGGGGAAAAAGTTTACGAATAAACACCGCGACTACAGTTTTTAGGTAACCTATTTGGCGTGATATATCCCGAGAACTTTGATATGAGTGAAAAGTGAAACTTACATCATACGCTGTTTTTGGTAAGCTTGAGAATTTCGACAAAACAGGTACATATGGGGAAAACGGAACTTACGGGTCATGTTTTGTGATGCATACTACGAAATTACCCTCTCTTTTATTATTACGGACTTTGTCAGTACTTTACGCAAACAATCATAGCAGATACTAGCTTCCATGAGAAATGCACCCAGCAATTCAGCTTTATATATACGTTGTTTATTCCAGTTAGTACACATTTTTCAGTCGAAAAAAACTTTATTGTTGCAACATCCAGGTCATGTAAATTCTATCCATTTCATGGCCACATAGCTGACTCGAAAACCGAATTCCTTGATGATAATTCATTGTATCATATAAGAGATGTGTCTGTGTTTACGAGATTAAATTTCTTGTATACAGTTAGCACTAACATAAGAACTATAAGTGTATTTTTAATTGAAAATAATACTTCACTCTGTCTATCGTGTTATGCAACTACTTAGAGCACTTGATAAGTTTACCATAGCACTTAAAACTACACACCCAAACACGTCTAGTTGCATAACCACTTAAAATGTATTATCGTTTAAGATGACTAGGTTCTATAATATGACTGTGAGATGTAACTACGCTCTGTATTTCATAATTTTGATAATATTCTACAGACCAAGTGTGGAACATGACCGCTGAGCTAAATGATTCAAAATCTTGAAGCATCATATTTATTTATAGTCCAAAGTAATCACTAAACACCCACAAATTTAAGTCTTACGTTTTTGTACACTTGTACCACCTTGGAGAGATGTCTGATCTTTTAGCGATTCACACTCACATCAATCAAAACTTTGCCCATGAGCTACTGAAGAAGTTGTTATTCTGCAAATTCTCTCTAACCATCCTAGCTTGTTTTCTATTGGATATACCAATTATTTATTGCTACTCTTATCACTTCTGTTACTCTAACCTAGTTGTTTATCTTATGTTGCGTTCTATACGTAGTGATAAAGTTGATAGACATGCTATCAGACCAAATTTTGTGGTTATCTATTTGTGTGTACTAGGCTGATTTTTGTCAAGCAATGATTTGAGTCACATCTCATTTACCAAACTGTAATATATCTGTAGTCATAACTTCTACAGAAGCCATTATATATATATATATATATATATATATATATATATATATATATATACAACAAACTCCAGTCACCATCAACGGGAGAAACTTAAAGGAAGTAACCTCCTTCACCTATCTAGGAAGCACTGTTTCAACTACAGGCAGCACTGACGAGGATGTCAAAGTCAGAATAGAAAAAGCAAGACAGGCCTTCATTAGCCTGAAACCAGTGTGGAGATCTTCTGCACTGCACTCATCATGTGGAACAAGATCCGGATTTTCAACACCAACGTCAAGTCAGTGCTTATGTATGGTTCAGAGACTTGGCGCGTCACGAAAGGGATTTCCAATAAACTACAGATATTCATCAACAACTGCCGCCTACGCTAGTTCGCTACTGAAGATCAGATGGATTGCCAGAAAGAATAAGCAACAAGGAGCTCTGGGAACGAACCAATCAAGAACCTATCACCCAACAAATATGCAGAAGGAAGTGGAGATGGATTGGGCATGCACTGAGAAGGCCGACTGGGAACATCACGCGTCAGGCCAGGCCCTCGAGTGGAATCCCCATGGGAAGCGACGAGTTGGACGTCCGAGGGTGACATGGAGGAGGTCGTGCGACGAGGAAATGACAGCTTCTGGGCTGTCGTGGAGCCAGGTCCAAAAGATTTCAGAGAACAGAGTGCACTGGAGGCGTGCTACTGAAGCCCTATGTTCCATTAGGAACCCAAGGGACTGATAATATATATATATATATATATATATATATATATATATATATATCCAGTTATGAACAGACTTAGTTAAATAAGCTACAAATATTCAAAACATAACAGGTACCATTTATCCGTAAGATGGATGTTTACCACCTTGCTGACACATTGAAATCGGTTAGTTGCAACTGTTTTGCTAAATTCAAAGTTCACCCAACATATATAACAGAACTCTAGGTGAAAAAAGAATTGGTAACACTTACTGAAGACTAGAACTGCCTTGACTAATATCTAGAGTCCGAGAAAACCATCCAAGACGTCTCATTAACGAAAGTTGAATTTTCGAAGTGAGCTCCATCATACCGGCCCCACTTTTGGTAGACACCAAGGCATCAAATCCAGTGTACATAAAGTCTGATTCACTGAAATGTCAAGGTGGTTTACAGGGATATAAAATAAGTATTTGGGCGGTGATTCGCAAAGTTACTGGGTAAATAGTACACAGACGGCGATATTCGAACTTAAGGGAAGTTCAAAAGTCTATTTTAGAAGTGATACCATCAGTACGAAAGTAACCAAAAGGTAAATTAAGAACAATTAGTTCCCTTTATGAATTTTGATAAAACGACGAGAAGACGTAACTTTTCTGAATTGGGTAATGTATATGCGCAACACTTCTCAAACATTGAATTTAGGGGGGCTTGTGAGGATTTAAAGATTTCTTTCAATGTGGTATTTATTATGAACTGACGTTAGTTGGAGGAACATTGGAAACATGAGAGCACTGGAAAGCCGTTTCGTCCTAGTATGAGACTCCTCAACGACAAAAAACATTTCAAACAATCTGATCACACACGTGCTTGTCATTTACATTAAAAATTGCAGAGTTAAAGAGGTAGGAAGATGATTATCGGTCAAATGAGAAGACAATATTAAAGGTCAAAATAACAATGAAGATCAATAAAGCAACAACAGAAAGCTAACTTTACAATAACCTTGGGTCAAAAGCTAAATTTACTAAGGAAGGTTTATGTGATGACAATTTGTTTTTGAACGCAAAGAGATGGCTTAAACCAACTACTAGCTAGTGTTTCAACAAACTTTAAAATACGTCTTCAACAGATCATATAAATGGGTTTAAATGACGTTTGTACATCCATTTTATGCCCCGTTTCAATAATATGTTTAGCTATTGAGGAGCTAGGACGTTTGTTTCCAGCATCAGCTGGATCAGGTGGCTCCATTTGTTTCCGTTGATGCTTTGGAATGTATTTCGTTGCACTTATTTCCAACGTGTCGGCTGTGCATATTCGTTGAATTCAATTAAAAAAAACACTCTTTAACTCTGTAATTTTTCACATAAATGACAAGAACGCCTGTGATCGGGTTGTTCGAAATGTGTTGTGGAAATATAATACACGATTCAAACAAGTTACGTCTTTTTATTATTTTGTCAAAAGATCAATATAAATTTGACTTTGGGGCTTTACCAAATTGTCGAAGTGATAATTTACAGTGTGAAACTGACATCACCTGATGAACAGCCAAGCAGAGAAGGAAAATCTAGAAGAAATAAAACGGAAATAGGTTGCTACACGATTAAGCAAACTGAAAAAAAAACCGAAATTCGTCGGCACAAAACAAGTGATAAATACCAAACGAAAGCATTGCTAAAATATTAGGGACTCATAGTATCGTAGAAGCTATAGTCAGACAGACAGTAGATGAATGATCAACTAAATAGGTAGGCTGAAGGTTTGGTTATTCAACGACATACAAAACATTAAACTATGAATTTGGTATATTGCTTTCTAGTCGATTATCTACTTAACTCAATGAGGATTTTACAGAGTGAAGAAAGTAACGAAAAGAGGGATTAAATTTGATATAATTATTTTTTATTTTCCTGAAGATTTTTACAGAACACTAAGTGAATTCAACACAGCCTAATGCGTAAAAATATCGATCTTTATGGAATTCATAGTGGAATTATAGCTCACTGGTTTAGTGAGTTGACTTTCAACTGACGAGTCATGGGTCCGAACCCAGCCCCCCTGCTGAAGTCTGGGCAGCTAAGTAGTATCATCCACTCTCGCACAACAAGTGTAACTCATCGCCATTCTCACAAACGTGCACATGGTTGCTAGGTGTTTCGTTTCAATTTCGTTGTAGAATTCATCCAAAAGATCATTTGAAGTTTTGACACACTTCGATTTACTCAGGTTCTATATATCAGTCTAATCGACCGAAACTTTCCCACGCTAGAGCTATTTACTTTGTTCTAAACCCGAAGATAGTACAGCTATGAGTTGAGAAAGAACATGCACCTTATTTTGATATTTGAAACTTACCGTGTTTCATCCAATGAGGTTTGTGCAACCAGATACTATCGAAGTTTTTACACAATAAGGTGTGCTTTGTTGTCTACTAAGTGAACCTGTATTTGGTTATTCATTCATATTAATTACACCGATACCCAGGAATTATGTTTAAAATAGTGTAAATAAACAAAAAAATAACCCTTACTTTTCTTACATTCGATCTATTTTGTTTCCAACTTTTAACACTTCAGGAGGTCTTCCAGATACCCCATCATCGGTCATATTCTTGGAATTTTGGGGTCCCTCAACAAAAACACCGATGTCACCCAAAAGCTTCTCCACATGATCGTTTTGTAAATTCCACCCAGGTTGACTAACATCAACGACATGCAGAATTAAATCCTAAAATCAATAGATCATAAATATATAAGACCGATATATACGATAATTACTATATATGAATTCGATGATCTGCAGCAAATTACTGCATAAATCAATCAGATGTAATAAAAGTTATTATGAAAAAATTGTGACACCAAAACCCAGTGATCATGATGTTTTTATTGCTATTTACATAGTGATGTCAGAAACGAAGTGCATTTCAAACGTTTATGCAAGAGATGGGAAACAAGAAACAGCGTGAAAGGTTCGGTACTTTTTATTTACACAACGAAAATGGTACTTACCAAATTTGGTTTACATTTCCTGCCTAATGCTCTCTATATCAGTTCAACATGAGATATTTATTATTTGTAGACTGTACACTAAGTTAGTGGTTCATACTAAGAGCAGGACAAGAACGCTTATCTTAAGCAGTGACAGTGGAACTTTGGTGAGAAGTTCTGTGTTATATTTGTCTGTCTTTCTGAAACCTCACTCATGATATAGATACAACAAACCTATCTTGACTTTTCGTTATGCGATTGGAGAAAGACAAAAATAATTTTGAAGGAATAGTAACTAACAGAACTGAAAAAAAGTAAACACTCCCTAAGGATTTACATTTGTAAAAGACAACACAGAAATGAAAAGGAAGACAAAGTCATCGAAAGGCAAGATTCAGTCAAATTTTCGATACAAAAGTAAGATAAATGAGCACAATTGTGTGCGACTATTGTAAAAGTTTAGTAAGGCTTGATATGAATTCCCATCATTTTTCTCTAATGTAAATATTTAAGTACTATGAGGAAAGATGACCACTAAATCATACATAAAAGAAGAGATAATTAAAGGAAGAAAGCCTTTGTTTTCGATGACATCATTTTCTAAAGATGTACAAATATATTTACACATATCACAGGTATATTGCAGTCTACAATTATTTGGTAACAGGGTATAATTACATCATAAGGCTAGTGTTCAAGACTACCAGAAAGAGTGGAAAGTGGAGTTGTAATAATCTATCAGATAGTGAAATTCACAAGAAAAGTAGGGAACTTGATAAAGTGAGAATTGTCAGTAGATAATTAATGCATGCATTTTCCAAATGCATCTTGCAAAACTATTCTGCTTAACTGTCGACGGGAAAATGAGAATCAGTCACTAGTTAGACTCCTGAAGATTTGGTTAACTCCGGTCATACAGCTCTACCAGAGTTCTACAATGTCAAAGGAAACACATTAAAAGGAGTGAACCTTTAAAATTTGTAAACAGTATGGGCCCCAACAATTAACAAACTCAAATATGACCTCTGTTGAGAAGAGGTATGTTCAACCTTGCCATAGTTTCAATCCGTCTGCTATTCTGATTTCGCTAAAATGAATCAGTTTACTATTATCCCTTCATTGAGATCTTTTTTTATTTCTTCATTTTCTCTGCATGTGTCAACTTGACACTCAACTATTGCATCTCACATCTGCGAACGATTCGCACTTTTGAATTCCCTGCCTTTCTTGTGAATCTCATTATCTGATAGATTATTACAACTTTACTTTCCACTTTTTAGTCTAGTCCTGAACGCAGGCTTTACACTGCAACGATACCTTGTTATTCAATAATGAACTGAAATATGTCTGCGATATATGTAAATACATTTGCTCAGCTTTAGAAAATGACATCATCGAAAAAGAGAGCTTTTTTCGCTTGTCTCTCCTTTTCTTTACGAGGAGGAAATTATATTAATAAACCTGTGATGAAATAAGTGATGTCAACATTGTGCAATAGGTCATTTGGTTAACTGATGCCGCACATACAATATCACGGTTGCCTATGGTAATGCTCAAGATGTGCACAGTGATCACTGAAATCAAAACATAATATTACCTGCAGTGGCGTAGAAGCTTATCATAAAGTTGGAGAATAAAGGAGATGGAGCAATTTTCCAATCTCCTAGGCAAAAAGTAGGCGAGTGTAGGTTATATTGACCATAAGCATAAATTTCTCAGGTAAAAACTTGGGGCTTACCTCAAAGCACACGAAAATTTATCAATACGAATGTTAATTTTCGTTCACTGACTGTGTTGCCGTATTCTTAACCTTTGGAATTTATATCATGATGCCCATAAAACAGTTATCAACATAGCCGTCTGCGAAGGGCTATACTGTTTTCTTGAGGTAGACGTAACAGCACAGTTTAAGGAAAGAAAATATCTGACATAAGCATGTCTCAGATGACGTTACGGCACTTCTTAGTTAAAAACTCGATAGTTAGTGAAAAAGAAAACCACGAGAATCAGGATTGCAATATGAGACAACCTCACAGAAATATGATTTCTAACAACTACACAAACAGCCTAATACCAACTAAATTGTCCCTTGGAAAGAAACCACCAGCTTTTGTGATAAAAACCAGTGACATAACCATCAAGTATGGCAAGGAAAAAATAGCTCAATATTAGCTTATAGAAAACAGTTAACTTACCGCCTCTAAACATTCGTTCAAAGTGGCTCGAAAAGCAGCTAATAAGTTAGTCGGCAGGTCAGACATAAATCCTATTGTGTCCAGTAGCAGCATATGCATACCAGGCAATCCGACACTACTAGTACATTGATCAGCATCGCCTGTGTTATCATCTGATGCAGTCGGTAGTATAGGTAACCGAGTTCTGTGATGTGTAACATCCAAAGTAGCAAACACTTTTGGACAAGAAGTCAATTTATCTGATTTGCTTAAGTAACGTATGAGACTAGTCTTTCCTATGAAAGTATAAAAATGAATTCAAATATTTAAAGGAAATTGAAATTCTACGATATACATATTAAGGTCTGAAAATTTCCCATGTTTTCTAGTGCAATAGGAAAGCAAAATTTCATTAAGAACTCGTGAACAGTTAAAAAGTCGATGAAACTATGATACAAATAAGTATTTATACGAAAGCTGAATGTTATAGGTTTTTAAAAATAGGATTATTCAATATTCCCCCGTAAAATAAAAGTGAAGCAGGATATGAAGAGGCATTCACTTGAAATCAACCACAGGAACTAAGTGATTCCAGATAATTTAACTTCGTTTAACCTACCCCTAATAATACACTTCGAAGTAAGAATGACTGCTTATGGAAAAAGTATATTCCATCATTAAATGTGGTTCACAAATTTACTTAAAGACATCTACTCTGCTTAATGCATAAAAGTGAAAGAATTATGTTTAGGTGATAATTAACCTTTTTATAAATCGTATCAGTCAAATTTACAAAGCACGCAAAAAAGTGGTTAGTATACAAGATGAACAAGGTATGACCTCGCACACAAATGCATCGGTCCAACTTGCCACAATTCACAGTAGTAGTAACATGCAAACAAGTCGATAGAAAAATACTGATGCCAAAGTACACAAAGGTCTATGCGAGAACAAATTTGAAAATCAAGGTTAGTGAAAATGTTTACGCCTTTGAAGACATCGAACAGTGAATACACTTGCGTCATTATGACAGGTTTTCAATCATCTTACCGAGTCTCAAATTATTGGTTCCTGTGGTTTATATCAACCTAACCAGATAGTCTGCATCTCACTACACAGCTCAAACGAACAGTCAGAGACTCCATGAACTGATGCTACGTCCTGGTCTGGCCACCCTTAGCCATCTTTCAACGCAAACACTGCTCCAGCTAACATTGTGCATTGAGGCAGACATTGAATCGACATGTATGTTCAAGCCACCTCAGTTGATCAGCTTGTCTGTTCTGCTTGGTACCTTTCGCCTAACCTCAATATCGCTCATATAGTGACTCCATTATACGTCAGCAATGCTATGAGGAGACCTACAGTCAAAAACGTGTAGTCACTTCATCTATCCTACTTTCAACGTCATGTCTCACAGCCATATAACAGGACAGAATGGACTTGCTGCAGTATACTAGTCTTTGAGTAGGTAGTCGGATATTTTACTAGAGATGATGCAAGTTGGTGAATGCCAAACCGGCCTTCTGTATCCTAGTTGAGATCTCATCAGTAACCAGCCTGTCAGTGCTGATACAACTTCCCAAGTAAGAGAAGTGTTCGGCGCACCCTACCACTTTACTCCGTATCCTTAAACTGAGAATACTTGCAGACCAGTCCTCCTGGAGCACCATCTTACATTTGATATGTGCGAAATGCATGTCAAACATACAATGATTTCTGCTCACGCCATTCAGAAGACCCTGCATTTTGTCGGTGTCCACCTAGCAAGATAATGTCGTCCGCGTACTCTTAGTCAATCACATGCCCTCCAAGGAGATCAATCCCCGTGAATTCACACGTACCAAAGGCTTGAAGCAACCTATTACTGTATCAGTTCCTAGGATATTCCCTGTATTTAGTAGGATAAAACATTAAGTTACACACAAATTAATGCACAAAGTGTTATAACAGTTGAGAATTTGTATCTCAAATGTGTGTTAGCTATTCTGAGATGTGACTTCAAAATTTGCAAAAACAAAGCAACGCATTGCAATGCAAGAAAACAGTTAAAAGTTATATTCCATACCTAAATCACACAAACTGAATGTAACTAGTCTGGTAAATGGGGATAAATACATACACCCTTTATTCAACCAACCAATGAAAAACTTTTTAAGCAGCCTCATTTTAGCAAAAAGAGACTCAAGTTTAATTTTCGTACCAGCATTAGTATAACCCACAACTGCAACGAGCGGTAAATGATGTTTATCCATATCTCGTCGATGATTACGCTTGTGGATGCTACGTTGCCTTGAAATTTTATCCAACTGATTTAAAAGGTGCGTTTCCCTCTCCTATAATAAAATAAAGTTTAGATCAGTAAAATAAAATGTTGAAATTGTACTTCATTAGAATTCTGATGTAATTTGTCTACAATAAGTTCGTTCATCTGAGTGCTGAAGAGAGGTTATATTGCATAGTGTTGATTACTGTGAATGATCAGTTCTAATTCCACTTAAATGAAAAATTCCAACAACTACACAACAACGTAAAGTTAATTCAATGTTATTTCTCATGCTTACATGAAAATGACAAATAATCATAGGCTAGTGATGTTCTAAGATATTATGCAAATACTTTAGAAGTGCTTGACACATAGTTTGTGTTTGGTGTTACTGGCTGACAGATTCTACATTGATTCATAATACGATTATGTCAAATGAATGTATCTCTTCTACAGTTACAGTGTCAAGTGGTCACGTAATTGCTTACCTATCGTTTGACATCATAATACCAAATGTTGCTCATAGGAATGTTTTTTCTACTTCCTTCTACCTAGATGAACAACAGACTTATTTTATCAAAGTTCACTTGACAAATACTCACTTTTCAGTGATTGAACTTGATGCACAAAGATATATAGGTAACATGATAGGGGCATTGTGTAGAGTTAGGACTAAAAATGCTATCCATAAGATGAAATTATGTTATCATCCAATTGTTTCTCATACTATTCTATGACCTTTTATATCCCCGTATAAAAAGCGAAAAGCTATAAGAAGTCATTTTTGAAGTTTGTTAGGATTATTAACGCAGTATGTAGCGGGATAAAATGAAATAAACGGTGAAGAATTTGTTGTTCAATATGCTGAATATCCGGCCTGATTCAGTTTACTCTAAATCCACTGGCACTCTACTAGCCATCAGAAACGGATTCTTTGGTAACCCACTAGTGGGTGTAACTACATATTTGTTACGTTATCCGAAAATCCAGTTAACTACTTTTATTTCAATCTATCAACAAGATACCGCTTAAAAAACATGGATTACAGTGAATATTTTTAAAAGCTGGTAACTCACATTAAGTATTTGAACTAAGCGTTCTTTGCAAGCGAAATCAGATCTATCGACTAAAATCTTAATCATATCTGGTATTTCAAAGAATGCTGGAATACGAGCTCGAAGTAGTCCAATTTCAGCTAATTTCGCTTGAACTTTTGCCTCTTGAGTTCGAGATCGAAGATTAAAAAGTTGGACAACTAGTGTGTAACTGAGGTAATGAACAGTGAAGATAAAAACCATTAGGATAAATGCTCACATTACAAACTAAACAGAAAAAGTTATAGAATAAAAGTTGAATACTTATATCTCATTAGAGATATGCAAAATAAAAGAATATCTGTCATCTTAATCCCTGTGAGACCCAAATAAGATGCATCCTTCACCTCAGCACACAAAGTGAACTACGCCAAATACAAAGTGGAAAGTAGATCCCGGTGATCAAATGCCTTTTTATACAGGAGGGATACCATTTAATATCACTACAGATCTTGAGATACATCACAATAAAGGTGACTAACATTATAGTGCCTCTGATTATACCACATGTTAATTTAATTACAAATAAACAAAACTTAAGAGTTCGGTTCTCTTTCTTTCAATATAGTCTTCCTGTACACGAATAAGCAGATAAGACGTAGACAACATTAAATACGACAGAATTCTTCATCAGTTCAGGTTGGTAAATTTCAAAATAATCTGTCATTCGTCGATTTCACGTCTTACCTAACAAAAGTGTGACATTTCGAAATGAACAATGCTGATATTAACGTCGAAGAATATTGTTGTACATACTACAGAAAAAATTGTCACTTTAACCTTCTAGTACTTTCAACTGAAACGCAGTGAATATTAGATTCTTTTCTTAACTACAGTGTTTAATCTTTACAAATTTAGAGAGGTGAACCTCTGTTTGAACAGATGTCTGAACATCACCTGCGATTTTATCTTAATTACGTTTCCAATGGGATGACAAAAGACTGCAAGAGACTACTTCGTCCTATCTGTGACTTTGGTTGAATGCACTTTTAGTAGGAACACTAATACTCAGTAGAATACAAGTACATGTAGTTATACTCTTCCATATTTCTTTGTCTCGTTTTAGTGAATTCCCGTTTGGATCACTACGCAGTAATGTCAAGTTCTACGTTGATACTGTCTGTTTAATCAATCCCAATAGGACGAAACTTGGATCCCAGATCCAACTACTAGCTTGTATCAAATTCATTATGAAGGTTACTTTCGAAGTTTGAATTTTTACCATCAAAAATGGATTTGGAAAATATGACAGGCAGACAAAATCAATAAAGGACTAGACATCATTGCATAACGGTTCAAGTTACCAGACCTGATATCAGCACATCAAGCGAAATTGTAAAAGGATCGAAGATGAAGAAATAAAGAATAAAGTGATCGAAATTTAATAGAAAGTAGTGAGATGAGGAAGAGTAAAAATGAAAAGTTGATAAATCTCGGTATGACTAGGAAGATGAAGGTAATGCGTGGAAACAATCGATTCTGAATCATGTCACCTATAGTATTCAACCACTGGTTTATGTTGTCACGTGGACCCCAACCAGGACGTCTACATTTGGCTACACGGCTCAACCCAACAGTCAGCAACTTCATGGACTGCTGTCATGTTTTATTCTGACCTTTTTTCAACTTAAACTTACTTCAGTCGACGTTATGCGACGAGACAGGCGGTGACTAAGCATGTGTAATACATATTCCAGATGTCAGAACTGAAGGAGGTTCACAAACCTCATAAACTGACTTTTCCTACCTAAAACTCTACGCCTGCTTTCTACATTACTGACATGTTAACACCATGATACAAAATATGAGTGTTTCAAGTCCTGATATTTCATATGCTTTCTATTAGGCATTGCACCAAAGAAGGGAAAGTATAGAATTGGATTATTATATTTTAAAGATTCCCTCATAGATTACTCAAAACAAGAATAATTTGAGCGGAAAATTGTTTCTAATAACTTCTTCTTCAGCCTCTAAAGTTATAAATCCATGGGAATAAGTGAAATACAATAACCTTAATTTAGCTATAACTGTAGAGTCTGACGAAGTTGTTGAAAATAACTGTTCGCTCAAATTATTGTAATACTTTAGTAGGCTATTTTTCTTATCGAAACATCCTCCTTGAAACAGTGACTTTAATGCTATTTTTTAGACAAATTTAAGAGCTTACTTTTTGTTAATTAGCTACCGTATTGTGTCACCATTCACAAGTGACCATCTTTTAACTGCAGTGCATGTTACATGCTTTTCTAGCATAAATGATTCACTCAAGTATTTGGAATTCGCAATATGGGTTGCATATATGTCTTGAAGTAGGAAGAATATGCAATGCAGTTTGAAAGTTATACGAGATGGCTTTAGTCGCTAGATGAAAATCTGGAAATAAACCATGAACATCTCGTTGGCGTAGCAAGGCGATCGGACAAGAAATGCAAAAAAATATAGAAACTAAAAGGAAAGAAAATCCATGAACAGTCTATGCATTACGGAATGCTGAGTTGATTTCTTCGAAAAGAAAACTGGAAATGTACGTTTACACATAGTGATCAAGTCTGTATGTTTCAGTAATACTTCGAGTAAAACAAAAGATTTGATAATTGTGTGCAAACATTCATTTTCAGTTTATTTCTAAGAAATTGACTCAACATTTCGCAATGCAATAAACTACTCATGGACTTAATTATTACCCATATTCTTTCCATGATCAACAAACTCATATGTATCACACAGAAGCTTGATTTGTGAACTACATGATTTTTAATATCAGATGCCTGAAAAGTGGAACTATCTTGATATATATGAAGCTAAAGTTAGTTATATCTATAAACAAGGTAAACGATACGCTCACTCATGCTCCAGAAGCACACATACAAGAAAATTTACACAAAATTATTACAAAGTTATTTATGATCAGAAACGAAATAAACGTAAGAGAAATGAAACAAAAGCTGGAGGCGAGATTACAGAAATAAGACTTCAAAATGATATTAGAAGGAGCAGTGCATAAAAAGATGAAGTAAAATTTTTTTATAAAATTCAACTAACTCATGGATGCTATTTTTACAAATGATGCATCTACACTAACAAACAATTTGATAGTAAACACTGGAGCTGCAATTCATTGGTTTAGGAAGTTGATTTTCAACCAGTGGGGTCACAGGCTCGAACACCGCTTCATATATTAAGGTTTGAGCACTCACTAGTATCATTAGCCGTCATACAATAAGTGTGGCTCATTGCATACTGCACGAATGTGTACAAGGTTTCTGAGAACATTTCAATTCAATTTTTTATTTGGTGAAATGGCTGAAAATCAGATACAATGGTGCAGATTTATTTACTCTTTGACGTCTTTGAAAGCTTAAACCCTTTTGAATAACTTTTATCTTCAAATTGTTTATTTTTTCATACAACTTTGTCTATTTTGATATCACTTCTATTCACTTGTTCTTTCTATGAAGCTGTGAAGTGTGGCAACTCGGACCGACGCAGTTCTATATGAGGCTCAACGTTGACTTTATGTCTGTAGCTTGATAATCAATAGGTTGGACAAAAATTTATCAGAAGTGGAAAAGTGTTCAATAGATGAATGAACTTTAGTGTTGCGAACCGAAAACTGAAACCTGACGATATTGTTCTGTATTGAAACTCTAACTATATGTGATGATGGGTAGTAATTTAGCCAGAAATATTACCAAGACTTCAAAATTTGATAATTTTTGTGGATATTCATTTCAAATTTATTTCTAATAAATAGTACAATTACACTAATGCATTTTTAGTTGAACTTTGCCATCAACTAACAAACCTTATTCTGAAGATCTTATTTGGACCTGGAGCAGTTAAGAATGGCATGTAGATAAACATTCTTCCAAATGATATTGCTTTTCATCTTGATGACTAGAGGAATCTAGAACGCGGGTTTCTTCCTATTTGGGACTCTTCAGCTGGATTTACTTGCACCTGGATAAGGCCCTGGCGTTTGAATCGATGGGAACTGGGTTTGAGCCTCAGTGGGAACAACACCACTCATTGGGATGCAGGTACATCCAGCTGATGAGTCCAAAATAGGACAAAACGCGCGTCCTGGATTCCTCTACTAGTCACCAAGGTTAACATAACATCACAAATATCCATCAGTATCGAGGCATCTGGATAGTTCATCTGCCAACAGAGGTTGAGCGATTCGGCCCCGTTTAGCGACGGGAAATTACAAGTATCGTAACAACGATATTATTATTCCTTTCACTTGTTTACAAGACTCGTTGTATGAATTGCGTCTGTACAAAAATATAAGCACAGTTTTCATTCCTGTTTTTAATACCAATGTAATCACCTGCTCATTTTAGACACTCAATTAACTCACATGCACCACGGAGTCAGTGATTATCTCAGTCTCCGCCTTAAGCAAAAATTATCAGATATTTTGCATAAGTCAATGTTTCTTTTCATATGAAAAGAAAAATCACTATGTAATTAAAATAGCTTAAAGGATATTTATGAGACTAACCGATCATAGACAGGCATTAACCAAGCATGTTGCATAAATGCAAGTTGAGAAGTCGTCAAACGGGACCAATTTATGAGAACTGCCGTTGCACGTTTTTTCACCGCTTCATTACTGGATGCAATTTTTTCTTGTGTTGGAAGTTCATTAGGCTTCTCAATAGACTTTTCACCATCGCGATACTCAATTACAGTCTTGGATACATTCTCCCAAACACCTTTACTGAAAAATGTCCGTGTATTATTGTAAGGACCTTTTACATTACAAAAGACCTAAATTTAAAATACAGAATTAAGAGATAATGAAAATTAGTCTGTTAGATGATTATTTCTAGGTTATCAACAATACATTTTCGGATTATTCGCGACTTATTAACAGTACAGATCTATATACTAGGCTATGAGGTCCAAACGATATGTGGAGGCTTAGGCTACTACCAGGTTGATCAAGTTAAGACAAAGAAATTGACATTTGAACTTAAAACTCATTGCCTGGAGGTTAAGTGCTAAAGCCAATAAATCGTAGTTTGGACTATTACACGAGAAGGAAATATCTTGTGATAAGTAGCGACCACGGACAAAGGTGGTTGTTCAGTCAAATCTTTTTAAGTGAATACTTTTTTAGCATACTTGAGCCCTACTCGGAAGTATACCTTCTAGTTTTCTCTTTTGACTATCAGTGACAAGTTGACTTTTTTAATAAGATCCTATAAAGCGTACGCATAATCATTAAATGTAGCACTCGTCTTCCACTTTCGACTATTTTCTATCCAACTATACAGTCAATCTGCGGTCTTTATCTGAAACTCTTTGACAGGACTTGCTGATGGAGATGCTTAGCTGGAAAAGATATTTTTCTCTTGTGATAGCTTGCTGCCTAGCGATGATCTAAAATACAAACAATCGTCACCATCGAGGAATCCTACAGATGCAATAACGCAATCTTCGTTGTTCCAAAACCTACGGCTATGACTAAAACGTATTCTTCGTAAAATTTATGCTTCAGTCAATGAGAACACGAACAAGGATTATAAATGTACCGATGAATGACTATTTTGGGAGCATTTAACCTCTATCAGGAAATATATACTTATATCTATTGGTGAAAGCAGTCGTTCAATTTGGCATAGAAGTTTGACATTGAAAGCTTCTAACAAAAGCGTCGGTTGACGAGGTTGTGAACCTTCATCGACCCAGATGGTAAGGGCACGTGTGGATCTAGTTACCTCCCATCCCACATTATTATCTGAACTAGGTTTACGTTGGAAAAGGGGTAGAGGTGGTCAGACTAGAACATAGTATCAGTTCAGAAAGTTTCTGACTGTTGGTCTGAGTTGTGCAGGCAAATGTCAATGCCCCGGTCCACTTGACTACACAAACCAGTGGTTGAAGTCTCTGAATGACGTGTCTCAGAGTCGATCTCAGTGATCCAAATGTCTCCATATATTATCGTCATCTTCCTAGTCATGTCGAATTCCATCCATGTTTCACTCCTGCTTGTTCTCATTTTTCGACTTTCTACTGCTTTCGATCAGTTTCTTTATCTTTAATCTGGGTGCATATTCGCTTGATGTGATGATATAAGGTATGGCAACTTGGATGGCTACTCAGTAATGCCAGGTTCAATACTGCGGCAGATTGACTTAAGAAATACCTTTTATTAGACCTAGTGTACCATTTGCTGAACTTGGATCTTCTCCACTACGACAATAAACATGTGAAGTTAAGGAGGAAACTTTGAGAGAGATAAAGACAAGATACTTGAAAGTGAGTAGGAATTTTTAAACTGAAGACAAGTATGGGGTATTTTTCATCCACACTGACTTGTAAAAAGGAATAATACATTAAATACTGATTTTAAAACATAGCCTATGCGTCAAAACGGGTCGGAAGGGCAATCTAGTGTATCTACTATCGTACTGATGAACAAATCAAATAAAAGCAACAACTTCCCACGTAATAATATCGTGTATGAAAATCTCCTTGTTAAAGACTTCGTAATTCATAGTCAGTTTCCAAAAAGTTGCATCATGCACTCACCACATCAACAGTAGTCCAAAATTCTAGTGAATCAACAAGGGCAACAGCTTCTTCTACATCAGGGCCATATTTGCACGTGGTTGAGTTTTTACTGATGTTCTCTGCAGACTTCAAACCTTGAATACATTGTCAAAAAACAGGAAAAATAAGGTGTTCACATGCTTTTAATGATAAAAACACCTACCTTCGAAGTTTGAATAGTTTCACGACTTATTTATGTTGCAACTACATTTTTCAGCTGGAAAATAGTCTCAATCTATAGCATAACTTACATTTATAATGGGATGAGTGTGGTAGCTTGGGCATGCTTTTTAATAATTGGTGATAAATAAGTTATAGATTAATTATTGACAAGAAAATGTTATCCTTGTTCGATAAACACCCTGCAGTAAATGTAACTCGGCAACTATGTGCAGGTCCATACACTACGCGACAGGACAAACAGAATGTGTGAGCACACATAGTACTACCTGCTAATTAAACATCGACAGGTTGAGCGAGTTTCGGGTACGTGGCCCACATTTTAAAGTCAAACTACCTATACCAATGAACTGAAGCTCCATATGAACAAAACAAAATATTGTTGAGGTGAATTAACTGAACTTCCCTATTTTTCAGAAACTGATGTGTGTCTATGAAACAGTATAGGTGATTGAAATAAAAGATAAACAAATTTACCCTGCTAACTTTGAATCAATATCATTTTTTGGATGTTTAACTAACTACACATCTATAGGGGGTGCAATCACAACTTTTTCTTGATGCAATCTAGAAACGTAAATATGGTACACATGAGTGTTGTCAACAGATAATATCAGATTATACTTAGTTAAGAAAATTCATTAGTTGTCCCAGAACTACATAGTAAATCTAGAGAACGAAAAAAAGTAGCTGCAATGCAGAGTGGTGGTGTCATAATTTGAGAAACTTAAGGTCGGTATCAGAGACATAAATAATCGCCACGTATAAAGACTTATTAGAAGCAGTGGATTGGAACAAGTCACGGTTGCTTACTACTGAGTAGGAAATTCTTTGGTGATAACCACAAAGGAACAAGCCTAATTTATTTTCGATATCCCTGTAATAAGTAGTTATACGGAGCTTTATCACTGCCTTAGAATTGGAAATCGAAATTTGAACAGCTTTGTAGGCTCGTACGCGTGATCACCACATCAGTCCTAGTCAGGTTCTGTAAAACAGGCATACTTCGCTGTTATCTTCTTAGATACGAAGGCACATTTTATACCAGTATACATCAGAATGGTATGCTGATCAGAAGTATCATTAAGACAGGCCACGTGTACGTTTTAAAGTAATGATTCAACTGATTATGACAAGATATCACTTGAGTCCAGCAGTATGAGTGTTACATGCTGTCCTTAATTTTTCTATCATTTTGTGAAAACATTTATCTGTAGACAGCTCTACCCCCGCTTCAATACTCACTTCAGTACTCACCTCTCGAATGTCCTTTGGTAGGTTGGAGGCAAGTAAATATTGATAGCATCAGACGAAAACTGATAAAATTTGGTCTTAAACTATGGATTGGCTCCTTTACAGGAGAGTTGTTCAGCATTCGCAGTAAAATTTGTCACTGGTAAGCTTATTTATGAGATATAGAGTGAAGGAGAGACTAAATCGATGTAGAATCTCGCACAAAATTGCATCGGTTTGAGTTGCTACAGCTTACAGTAACACGCGGAGAAGTGGATAGAAAAAGACTGATATCAAAGTAGAAAGAGGTGTATAACAGTATAAAAAATTTTAAAATGAAGGTTATTGGAAATCTTTAAGCTTTTGAAGACGTCAAAGAGTAAATATATCTGCGTCACTATGTCCGAATTATAGCCATTTCACCAGGAGTCTTCAACCATTCATTCTTATGGTCTCGGTGACTACAGTCAGGTAGTCTATACCTCCCTACAGGACTTAGACCAATAGTCAGAGACTTAATAAAGTGATTTCATGCTAGGCCATCCTGAACCTTTTCTCCAAACTAATCCAACTTCTGCCGACATTGCACGTTGGGGTAGGTGGTAGCTTGGCATGCACAACACATTTATATGCCACCTCAGATGATGAAGGTTTACAACCTTATCGGCCGACTCGCCTGTCTTCATTTATAAGACATTTAAAAGATGAAAAAGTTTTATTATTTCTGAAGGCAAAAGGAACTTATTAGTTTACTATGATTATCTTGATGATATCCTAGAGATTGATAACAAGAAAATAAACATGATGTGCTCAAAATTGTAGAGCTCAATCTCATAAAGTGGTCATGATTACGTTTGCCACATGTCCCACTGATAGGCATCAAGTATGGAACTTGAATCAAGAAATTTCTATTCACTGCTCTTAAATACACCTGGTATGAGCACCCATGACCTAAATTCGGAAAACGATATATCGTTAGAACTTATCACAACTTACGTGGTTGAACAATCAGGACATCATGGCCATCTTCTGGTAGCAAATACGACTTTTTGAGTAGAACCTCGTACATTTTACTGGAATCTGAATCCGCCCAACTTATACCTAAATTATTAACAAAACAGAGCAAAATATGTTGCAAGTCAAATTCAGTCATACTTATAAACCGATCTTTGGAGACCTAGTGAGTGATATCTGTTACACTAAGCCACAACCCAATAAACGGATAGACAGGCAAAATCAACGTAGAATCTCGCATACAGGTGCATCGGTTCAAGTTCTCACATTTCACAGTAGGATACAAAGAATGGAAGGATAGGAAAACTGACATTAAGCTAGACAAAGTTGTGTGAGAAAATAAATAACTTGAAGGCAACGGTTAGTACAAATATTCAAGCTTTATGTGTCAAGGAGTGAATGCATCTAGGACACTGTGACCAATTTTCAGCCATTTTACCAAGTGTCCTTGAACCACTGATTTCTTTCGATTCGAATACTCCAGCCAGGAAGTCTGTATCTCCCCACATGAACTAGATCAATATTCAGAGACCTCATCGACTGGCAAAACGTTTTCTTTTGGTCATCCTGAACGCCTTTTCAACCTAATCCAACTTCCCGTAGCACTGCACGTCAAGATAGGCAGTGGATCGGCATGCGCAGTACATGTCCAAGCTATCTCAGTTGATTAATGTTCACAACCTCATAAATCGACTTGCTGTTTTGTCTGTTACCCTTCGCCTGACTTTAACATTGGTCACTCAGTGATATCATGAAACGCGAAGAATGCTACGAAGACATTTGTGACCAAAACCTTGTAACCGCTTCATATCTTCTACCTTTAGCGGCCGTCTTACAGCCGTACAACAGAACAGAATGGACTGCAGAGCAGTATACTCGTCCATTAACAGGTAGTCGGATATCTTCGCCAATCGGCTACATAGATGACGCAAGTTGCCGAGTGTCAAACGGGCCTTCTGTATCCAAGCCGAGATTTCATCAGCAACCAGACTATTCGGCTGATGCGACTTCCGAGGTAAGTGAAATGAGTGGCGCATCCCACCACTTCACTCCCTATTGTACCACAAATTGTTTGGAATAAAGTGAATTTTCATTATTATCTTTAAAATAGGAGTAGTTGCAAGCCAGTCCTGGAGCATGGTTTCACATTTGGCAGGGGAAAATCTAGGTCAAACACACTCAGATTTCTTCACTAACTATCATCTTTTTCTTACCAGTGTTCTGAGTAAGCCTAAAAAGCTAGCGGGTGTTACCTAACACTGATGCCATCTGGGTTTATCTTGCTTTCGCCACTCACCACTGCTCGTGGCCGACGCGAAGACTCTTGATCAGTTTACGTTTGAGTTGCTTTCTCTCTTCAGAGCCAGTTGGAATCTGTCTTTTCGCATCAATCAGTTAAGATGATGTTGTCGAAATCCAATGAAGTGTGCTAACCTTCGTTTGTAGGTTACCAACTGTCTTTACTGCTGTTTTTACGCCAGGTTTCTTTAGCATGAGCATCGCTGTCATGTTCAAATAAATGCTTAGTTATCTCTTCCTTAAATTCAGACTTGACGTTTTCATCTTCTAATCAACCATAGATAGGCTTTACTATCGTGTTTCCTGCTACCAGTAAGGCGTTGATATACACGAGCCTGCACTAACGCATGGTCAGAGTCCAAACTGGTACCCCAGAGGCAGCGGCTATCCTCCACTGATCCTCTTCAACAATAGCTTTTGGTAATATGATCCATCTATGTCCATCGTTGGTGTGAAGTCGGCGGACGCCATGACAGTGTCCCTCCTTGTGCCTAAAGTTAGTACTGACCAGAAACAAGTAGTTGTCGGAGCAAAATTGTAGTAGACGATCACCGTTGTCGGTTCGTTGGCATGGCACTCCGGGAATACCTCCGAGATGCCTTGTCTATTGACTCAGCTGCCCTACTCGAGCATTAAAATCACCTGATATCATGACTACATCTGAACGTTTCGCTTTTTGTAGCAAAGTTGACACAACCTCATAACAAGTTCACAGTCTTTTTATAGGACTGAACATTATCATAGTGAAACGTATCGATAGCTTTTGTGAGAAGTCAGCTAGTGAGCACTAATCAATCATTTAAGGTGTCGATAATGCTGATCAGTAAACATAATGCTATAACAATTTCAAAGCACCAATACATTTTGAAGGATCTTGGAAAATCAGTATATTCTGTTGTGACATCACTTGTGTGCAAATGTTTTTGTATGGTTCAGGGGAAGAGCATCAAAGTTAACTTAGATTGACAATAAACACCATGAATTTATTCACTCTAATCACTAGTAGACTTATTCCGCTGGCACCACCTTAACAAAGAAAAGGTAAGAAGAACATAAGGCATACTGAACTCGATAATTCCAACTTTAGGGGTAAGTAGCTAAATTTCTCTCTACTACTACTGCTACTACTACTAGAACTAAACAAATATCCAGATCGGAAAGTCAACTATGAAGAAAAACATTAGCTGAAAAATAACAGCAAGCTATACAACAAAAGTGCTATTACGAAAACGTATTGAGAAAGTTGGTCAAAAAAGATGACTAGCCTATCAATCAAAAAACCGTAGGTGGCTACGTATACCGGTGAAAAGCGGATGAAGCAAGAAAACTGTTTCAGAAAGTCGTAGGTAGATGTTTTCATTCAAGAAGTACAGTTTTCTTTACAAATGCCAACTATACAACACAGCTAGAAAGTGCGCTTGAAGCTCTGACAGCAGATCAGTTTGGCCGAAAATATGAATGCTTTTTTATTTCACAAAAACGAGTGGTGGCAAATTATATGAAATTCATGGGAATCGTTCTGCATTAACAATGAATGTAGATGCAAAATACAGTATGGAGTGCAAAATATAAGTGGATAGTGTGTTATGTATAGTCCAAGATTTCTAGTGAATGAGTTTTGAATATGTATAGTAAATATTTATTTACTGAGAATCGGGTGACTAATGGATGTGAAGACGAATAATAATCAGAAAAAGCAAAACTAAAAAACCTGAATTTAATGTTAGCAAACCTTAACATGCATGAAAGAATTCATATTTTGGATTTTCTATTGCACATAAATCTTGTTTTAACACAAATACTGGAAGCGCACCTGCACAAAAGAGAGGAGTACTAGACAGTGCAATAAGGTTCTACTACACTACCACAGTTTTAGGTGTTAGCTTTAAGAGTGAGTGAATACGGTAAACACTTTCTTTCGTTGAAGAGACTGTCCCTTATTTTTTATTCTTAGCCAAACGCCACATGTTCAATTGAAACTATTACTTTAAAAAAATATTATATAGCTTTTTAGCTAACAGCATATGTCAACGCCTGAGAAATCTCGACGCTGAAAATCAGAAATATATGATTACACTTCATAAACATTGAGTAACCGCTGTATATATGGTTTATCACTTTTAAGGGTTTTAAAGGAGTATAGAGCGAGACAATATTACACTGCATAGCACACACATGAAGAAGCCAGTATGAATGCAGAATAGCCCTTCAGAGCTCATTTTATTTATTTTATACGAATGACAAACAATGAGGAATGCTATTTTAGGTTTGGTGATAGCTTAATGATAGTGAATATTATTGGACCATTCCTTGTGCATCGCTATGCAAAAAGTTACAATAAATAAATCAACGAGTAGAGTACTTACATCTCTGAACAGATTTTAGACACGAACGACCTATATGTCGAAACATTTCACTGATTTACCATAAGACATTGGCAGATCCACAGTATAATCAGTCGAAAAGACGATTCTCCATGAAAACACCTCAAGGTTTCTGTAATCAAGAAAAAAACTAGCATACTGCAGGATTTCTATGCAAAATATTGACAACAAAGGTACTGTAATGCGCTTTCAGGAAAACTTAAGGAATGAGTAGTGCGAGGCCGTTTTGTAGCATTTTCTTTACGAAAGAAAAAATTGAATTAAAATGTAAAACCTTCGAAAGCACCCTAGGAATTTAAAAAACAATGACCGGTAGTACATAAAACTCGAAGCATCTGGAGTTCAGTTTCCAAAGTAACAGTGAACCTTAAAATGAATGTACCATAGAAAATTCTAGGCAATATAACCGCTGGACGGCTAAATGAAGTCATGGAACAGCAAACCTAAAGAGAATGGGCATGTCAAAGACCTGGTATTGGGCGTATTAACTAGATACTCACTCCATCATATGCTACGAAAGAGACATAATCGCCGAAACTCGTTGCATTTCTTGACCTGAAGGCGGTACTCAACTCCTACGATACATAGGTTTTGTGAGTGTCTCACTGAAAGAGGTATCAGGCAAGCTCATCGCTGTGTTGAAAGCTCTGTATTTGAACATCCGTGGGTGTGTTAGAGCATAAGGCATAGCATAAGGTGATTAGTGTACGTCAAGTGATGTCCATCAGGCATACCCAATTTCGTCATTCTTATTTAACGTAGTCATAGACATAGGTACAGAGGTCTCCCTGTTATCGTAGAACTCTCAAGGGGTTGGTCTTATCACATGAGAATCCTTAATAGATCTACAGTATGCACATGACACATTCCTATTAGGTGATGTCGATAAGTTGCAACCTTCTGGATAGATTGGCAATTCAAAAGTGTTCGGGACAAGCTCCTCATCACCCTAAAAGCAAATTGTTGCTTAACGACTGGTCTGTTGGCGCCCTATCTAGCAATAGGGAGAGAAATATTTCAGTGTATTAACCGCTTTACTCACTTTGGAAACTAAATCAGCCGTGGTGGATCAGTAACCATCGGAATTTCCACACACAAAATGATCGTTTAGCTTCACCAAATTATCTCACCTAAACAGCCAGTGTTGTAACCTATTATCTACTAAGGGGTAGAGTGCACCACACCTCAGTTTGCCTTGTTTTAGTACATACCTGTGAAGTCAAATATGGAGTATGGATTATCGTCTTCTTCCTCCTCTAAAAAGGACAAATTAAGCTTAGAACGCATCTAAGGGCACTCGACCAAATCTGTTCGAGGAATTGAGTCCAAAACCTATGAAGAAAAACTGGTTGCGCCAGATCTATATCCCCTGGAATACAGAAGACCAAGATGAAACTTGATAATGGCGCACATTTTGAAGAGCTCAGGACACCCACTACATCACTCAGTGAATCCTAATTGTAGTATCAATCTTAGAGGATACATACATAAACTAGGCCTAGTACACAGCAGGTTAGATATTCTTGCGGGAGTGATCCGAGCTGCATCTGAATCCTTTAAACGCCAGCTTGACACTTGAGATGTGGGTAGGATCTACTAAGAAGTAACTGAATTTTCAAATTTTAACCGTCAACTTTTATCTGTTCAATTTTACACAGGTTAAAAACTACAAGAAATAGTGATCCAAGGATTCTAGATGCGGAAGGTAGGTGAGCGAAAGCTTCTTCCATTCCGTCAACAACCATTAGAATGCTGTTTTGGTGTCCACTAGCCACGCAACATTATTGGAAGCATGAGTCTAAGCGAAGTGGAAGTATATCATATGGCTGTGGAAATTCGGTTACTTACGCCATTAACTAACTACTCTTACTATTAATAGTAAGAGTAGATCATCCTACAGATTATAAAAAAGTCATTATAACCGGTTTGGATCTCTCATGTCGCGATTTACAACTTAGGTGGTTAGAAGTAAATAGTTTCAAGGATATAGGGACTGTCGATCTGCAACTGCTGAGCTAAGCACAAATTGAGATAGGACGCTGAGTGAAACTTAACGAAAGTTTAAATTAGTGGCCAGGTGATGGATACCGTCCCAACAACCAAATTCCGTCGCGTTTTTTAAATGGAGTTTTGTCTTAAAGATTGTGGTTTCGCTTCCCTGAAGTAGTGACTGGTAGTTTGCCTGTACAGAAAAACTATGAAATGTTTCATGGTCTGAGTTTTCACTTCATTTTCCAAAAGACACATAATGTCACTAAAATTCCTTTAGGAATTCGGTTTGAATTAGACATAGAATAAGGGGATTAAAAATAGTCAGCCGGATTCAGATTCTGATATATGTAACAACAAAATGAAAATCCAGACCCATGTAACAAACCATCGAAAGCACGCGCAGCGTTACTATAAGCTATCGCCTAATCGAATTTGGCTGGCTTCTGTTTCCAAGCGACCTTGAGCCACATAAGTGAAGCGGATTTCTAATCGTACTCAGGTAGTTTGCCGTATGGGATTGGCTGAAGTGTATGTAATATACTCCAAATAGCTTTCATTGAGCACCAGTGGGTTTTGTAACATTATTGTGCACTGAGAATTGTCAATTCCCCTGTAATATGCTTGCTACTGGATTTTCCTTTCGTTATTTAATGAGTAATCTGCATTTTATGTAGGACATCCCAAGCTTCTGAGAATGCTGCAGTCTCAGTAGACATAACTAGAGCATTCCAGGAAGTGGTGTTATCGAAGTCATTCTTCAGCTGGAAAGCTGTTGAAAGAGAAGTCAATGAACTTCAGAGTATGTAACTGTTGTATTTTATGATGAACGTAGGTTACTTGTACTCACTATGTGCATTTGAAAAGCAAGGGACCCGGAGATTCTCATTTGAAGTGCAATGTTATCGTGTTTAAGTATACTTTCGGCGTAAAACGTTAACCTCAAGTTATGGGTTTGATAAAAAACCGTAATTCCTCCTGTCTATGAGACTAGTCTTAGGTCCGAATTTCAAAACTGTCTATCAATGTTTCTTTTTGCATTGAAGATGGATGAGTATACTGTCAGTTCTTACAAAACGGTTCATAACCACCCTTGTACTTAGTCATTCATGATTTGTGATGCCTGGAGCAGAAGAGAAGGAGAATCTGAGGCCTATTTTACGGCAGTCATCCTGCACAGATGATGTCATTCTGCATGTTATAGATGAATGGAACAAAGTAGTTACGGTGAGGGATGTGAGAAACATGAAGTTGAAAGTCATTAGAGGTAGCTTGGCAATTATGAGTATAATTCTGTCTAGATAGTGCGAAGCAATCGGGGGTATTCGACTTTTTGAGTAAGAGGGAAAGTTTGAATAAATTTTATTCCGAGAACGGTAGTTCTCAGGTGTTATCCAGAGCGTGCTTAGCCTCGACTGAGCAAATACAACTATATCACAAATATCAGGAAGAAGTCGGCATCGACTCCACTTATAACACCAACCGGGGAGAGTAAAGTCCCTATGTAATGATAATTAGATAGGTACCGATTGTTTCAGTTGGTGATAACTGATAACTGTGGTCGCGGACGTCCTGTGCTGTTTGCATGGACAAAGAAAAAGCTGAAAAGGGATGTAATGTGGATCCTGGATAATTTTAGAGGAGTTATGCAGGAGACAAGGATGACTCAGACGTTTATTATGGATTGCTCACGCGCGGAAATCTCCGCCGTCCAAGAGACGCACAGGTAAGCTGACATCGTGCTTTGTGAGTTCCATGTGTGCCGGCCGTTATGTAAAACAGTAAGTTTAAAAAATACTATGGTAGCGCAAATTACGGACCGAGAATTCGATAGCGGAAGCATACCTGTGTCGTTTGGTGTCATGTGAATACACTGGGAGGTAGGAAGTGTATTGCTCTAATTTCTCGGGTTCTACAGGTATCACGGAGTCATTAGTAGATTAGACCGCAACGTCGTGGGCGTAGCAGCGGAGATTAACAAATTCTGCAGACGAAATTTTGGACGGTGAACTTTGCGGTTCATTGGTGTCAATGCATTATGCAGGCAAAAGATTATGCAACGCATCTATTGCAGTTTAGTGATGGAAACCTTTCTTCAAGCATGGTGACATACGGAGGCCTATCCATTGAAGATACGGCTAGATACGAACGACTGTGAGCCTTTTATCATACCTTTACTACAAATATACACTTACCCATATCTATTCAGTATTTTATATTGGCGCGCTCCTTGAGTAGTGACGTGTTTCGCTCGTCTCTCAGCTTTTGGATTTTTCCACAATGAAAAACTCCCACTTGCAATACTCAATCTAAAAACATCGAACGTTTGCAGCACTTCTGTCCATCCACGCACCTCACCCCTGCGCATTCGTCAGCTCACTCCTCAACAGTTGAAAATTGGCATTATTATTCCTTTGAACCAACCGGTCTACCTCCTGTCAGTGGTTCTTGGGCGTTTCAGCTGCCAAACTGCCTTAGCTCTCGGTTCTCCTCGGAGGTCATTCCCCAGGAAATATCTTTCCTGGTTATACATACGCATCTGGAGCTTACGGTTAAACTCGTTGGTCAAGAGCAGAGGATCAAGTGACAAGTGTCTGAAGGTGAGCCAACATAAATTATCTTCCCTTTTCTATTCTGTCCTTTTCCTGCATTCAGTCTTCAACCCTCTTATTGTTGTTAACTACTTGTTTTCCCAAGAAGTTTATATCATAGCGACATGTCTGCCCAAAACGCTAGGTCTGAAGCTTTGACACGGATAACGCGGTCGTGCACAACAACGGCCAGTAACACCCTAAACAACACACTAGTCTGTACTAGAAGACAAACAGAGGTAGGGCAGAACATCGAACTTCTGAAGAAGTGGCCAACCCATGTTTCTAGAATTCCAGTAGCCATCAGACAGGTGACACAGAGAAGCACTAGCCCGTCACAAACTAGTCCTATCTTGAGCAAGGATCATACCATGCCTGAACATAGAAGACGACGTAAAAGGCTTCAGAACAAGGCAGCCACAAGCAGTTCGCCACAATCCGTAGCACCTTATTCATGGAAGGAAGGCTGTATTACGACACCCGATGGCTGCAGTGTTTGCACCAAAGTTGTTTCGGTAGTCGATGAGGCATTTGCATGCAACCTGTGTCAACGATGGGTGCATTGCCACTGCGATACCAAAGTCCCCCGACAATACTATAAGCTGATGAAGAGACAACCATGCAAGTGGTTCTGGTACATCTGTCCAGAGTGCAGGAAAATGCCCGCACTCCGCACAGAAAGCCTGAAGGAGATGCTCTCCGCCACGCAAAAGCTACCAGCATCCTCGAATAAGTAGGGTTAACACCAAAGGATAACACAGAGAGACCTGGAAACAGACCTAGAGCTCCAGCTGTGGGCACGCCATCTCGCGTGGGGACCATATTAGGTCAAGTCTCCATACCCCCACCCGGCCCCAGGGGACGTCAAGCGCATGGCCAAAGACATCGACCGCCGAAGCCTCTACGAAACCCATTCCGAACACCCCACACACCGTGACTGAGAAACAACCAGTGGAATTACTCAAACCCATTGGTAAGTCGGGCGTGCCACCCACAACGAACCCAGGTCACAGGAGGACCAACTCGATCATTTTGTTCAACGTCGATGTATCGACAGACTCATTGTTGGTCGAGAGGGAACAATTTGACAGCCGAATGTGGACCGACTACTGTCAGATGCTGGGACTCCCTCCCCTCCCTGCAACTTTGTGTCGCCTTTCTCGAGGAAGCCATGCACCCCGAGATAAGCCACCCCCTTTACGTGTGTCCCTAAATACCGCCAAAGAGGCTGAAGACACACTCCTCCTCTCGCGACAACCGGACGTTGTTAATGCCTGTAAAATTCGGGCCAGGCCTGACAAGCCATGGTCAGTAAGAGAGGAGGAGAGAAAGTCAGCGGTTGGAAATCCCAACAGAAACAACACTATAGTTGTACATGGGATTCCAGAATTGCCAAGTGACAGCTCGGTCAAAGATCGGTACTTTCACGACGTCCAACAATGGCAATGGCTCTCAACCAAAGTTGGTCTCAACAGTATACCGGCCAACAGCGTCAGTAGACTGCCAAGGCCAGCGCACCTGAAGACCATACCCAATCCCAGACTACTTGCCGTCCAGTTCGACTCATATGCCTCCCTCACAGACGTTCTGCACGCATGGTATAATGCGAAAGATCGCATGGGTGGCTCAATACGTATATGTGAAAGTAAGCCTAGACCCACAAGGCAAGAGGAGAGACGGCAACCACCAAGACCTCTGGAGTCAGTGGTCGTCACACAGGCGCTGACCAGTGAGTTAGATACATCAAGTAAAGAAGCCACCACTGCTACAGCCCCCACCCAAGTTAAGAACAAAACACAAAAAAACGGAACAATGCCAGTCCTATGAGGACTGGCGAGGCTAAATTCAACCACGTAAGCGCTCATCCCGCGAAAATACACATCCAGACCTCCCCTCTCATCAGGTACACTCTAATATGTATGTACAGCAACGTTAGGGGGCTAATAGGGAAGGTAGCAAAAATGAGGACGCTGCGTGAACATCAGCACTACGACATCATATTCATCACCGAATCCTGGCTCTCATCGGACATCTCCGACGAAGAGATGCGTGTTGCTGGCATGGAACTCTTCCGCAGGGACAGGGAACATAGAGCAGGAGGGGGAGTGGCTATCTACGCAAACTCCTGTTTAAAGGCAAGGATGGTTAGCGATACGGCCTTAACCCAGCTCCCAGAGTCTCTATGGTGCTACTTCACTCTCTTCTTTATTCTCTCTTCATTCCTTTACCACTACCTTACTATTCTCTTCCAGGTACCTACACAGACAGGAGTCATGGCAGTTCTCTAAACTTCCCAGCAACCCGTAGCTCCCTAATCACTCTACAAATTACAACCTACTAACCCACAAAACATCCACCTCACCGAAGCTAAAAGCAAGAAAGCAGAGGGGATTTCCTCGTCCACTGCAGGAGTAAACCGAACAACTGGAACCAAGCCCTAAGAACTAGACGCGAGAGATCAAAAACTACTAGTTTTCTACGCTCGCACTATCAATATTGGATATTGGATATTGGAACACCAACCGGGGAGAGTAAAGTCCCTATGTAATGATAATTAGATAGGTACCGATTGTTTCAGTTGGTGATAACTGATAACTGTGGTCGCGGACGTCCTGTGCTGTTTGCATGGACAAAGAAAAAGCTGAAAAGGGATGTAATGTGGATCCTGGATAATTTTAGAGGAGTTATGCAGGAGACAAGGATGACTCAGACGTTTATTATGGATTGCTCACGCGCGGAAATCTCCGCCGTCCAAGAGACGCACAGGTAAGCTGACATCGTGCTTTGTGAGTTCCATGTGTGCCGGCCGTTATGTAAAACAGTAAGTTTAAAAAATACTATGGTAGCGCAAATTACGGACCGAGAATTCGATAGCG